AAAAAAAAAAAAAAAAAAAAAAAAAAAAAAAAAAAATTATAAATATGCTAGAAGTACTCAAAACTAAAAAAAAAAATTAAAAGCGAAGTAACTGAATCATTCAAAATGGGCTCGTTTTTTTGTTTTAAAAGTAAAATTTAAGGCTAATCATATGCAAAATACAATGAAACCCCGAACTATATTCATACATTTGCAATTTGACATGAGATTTGGGTGGGGATACAGAATGGAACCACATCATTCTGCGCTGGGCCCTCACAAACCTCATGTCATAGTTACATTTCTCTCTCTCTTTTTTTTTTTGAGATGGAAAATTACACTGTCTCCCAGGCTAGAGTGCAATGGCATCATCTCGGCTCACCACAGTCTCTGCCTCCCAGGTTCAAGGGATTCTCCTGCCTCCGCCTCCTGGGATTACAGGCACCCACCACCATGCCTGGTTAATTTTTGTATTTTTAGTAGAGATGGGGTTTCACCATGTTGGCCAGGCTGGTCTCGAACTCCTGATCTCTATTGATCCACTGGGCTCAGCCTCCCAAAGTGCTAGGAATACAGGTACAAGCCATCACGTCTGGCCTGGTCCCCCTAATTCTTAACTCATTTCAGCATAAACTTAAAAGTCCAGTCCAGAGCCTCATTATAACAAGGGCTATGGGAATGATAAGCCAGGAACCCAGGATAAAAACATATATATATACCAAACACCACAATGACCCAATCTCATGGCATTTCACTCTTAGATTTTTCTTATTTATTTTTTTTGAGACAGAGTCTCACTCTGTTGTCCAGGCTGGAGTGCAGTGGAGCAATCACTGCAACCTCCACCTCCCAGGCTCAAACAATTCTCGCACCTCAACTTCCCCATTAGCTGGGATTACAGGCCACGCTGCCATACCTGGATAATTTTTGTATTTTTAGTAGAGACAGGGTTTCACCATGTTGGCTAGGCTGGTCTCGAACTCTTGGCCTCAAGCCATCCGCTGACCTCGGCCTCCCAAAGTGCTGGGATTACAGGCGTGAGCCACCAAGCCTGGCTGGCATCCTTAAATTTTTAAAGAGTTGTGTACTTCACCTTCTAGCTATGCTTGCCTTTTACATGTATTAGGGCCCAGAAGCTGTAAATACTTACAAAAATGGTGAAATCTTACTAAAGATAAATTAGAATTATGATGACCATTATGTGGAACATTCCAGATGAATAAGACTGTTCTTCTAAGAACTGAGTTTAAAAATGAGGGCTCCCGAATCAGCCCCTCCCACAGACACCTATTGATGTACAAAAGCTTCTAAAGATTTCAAAAATGTTTGCCTCTTTAAAAGATCCCACGTAGAAGGCATATGAAAAGTTTAAGCAACTAATTTATAAGAAAATTGAATCTGCCAACCTTTTCACTTAGTTACTATTTTACTCCAAAGGCAAAAAGAAAGCTAGGTAATATTTGTAAAAATTAGGCCCTTGGGTTAAGCAGGTTTGCTTCTTTTTCAGAACTATCCATCTGAGTCCAGAAATAGGAACCCCTTTGCCTGCTCTATTTGCTAATGGGCTCTGCCCTGAACTCAGTAATCTAGTTAAGAAACAGAAGCTAAGTTGAAAAGACTGCCTAATGAATTAAATCAGTCTCCAAAATTTGCCTTTCTGGTATTTAGCCAGTTATTTTGAAACTCTTTGTAAAAATGCATATCTTAAAGGAAAATCAGTAGAAATTCTTACAATAGGTGAGAGCATTAATCCAAATAAACCTTACCTTCGACCATTTTGTCTTAACTGGGCTTCTTAGCTCAGTTGGGCTTTCTGTCTTGGCAAATACCAATATTTAGGCTTGAAATGTAAGTTCTCTGCCTTTGTGATGTAAATGTTCAACCTTGTGTTACCTAGGAACCATTTCTTTGAAAATGCAATTCAGGGTAGAAAGTTTTTAAATGTTTATTAAAAAGGGGATGAATAGTGGACAATGATGGGTTTAAAACAAAAGTTTCATCTACTCATGATTGGGTGGATCAGAGGAACTCACTGCTGGTCCCCTAACATTCCAAGGCTCAAAACCAGTCAGCTCAATTTACTCGTTTGGATTCTTTTTTTTTTTAATTGTACTTTAAGTTCTGGGGTACATGGACAGAACTTGCAGGATTATTGCAGAGTACACACATGCCATGGTGGTTTGCTGTCTCCATCCCCCCGTCACCTACTCAGGCATTTCTCCAAATGTTATCCTTCCCTAACCTCCCGAGCCCCTGCTGTGCCTCCCCTAGCCCCAACAGACCCCAGTGTGTGATGTTCCCCTCCCTGTGCCCATGTGTTCTCATTGTTCAACACCTGCCTATGAGTGAGAACATGTGGTGTTTGGTTTTCTGTTCTTGTGTCAGTTTGCTGAGAATGATGATTTCCAGAAATTTTTTAAAGCCAGAAGGCAGAGATTCCAATGGGCAACCTAACTAACAATCACTTAGGGTAATAATCAACCAGGTCAGTCAAGAAAAGGGCAAGGTCCCTTGACTCAATCCCCCCGTTGGAATGGGTATAATTAGCAAATTCATGTTTTAATGACCAGAACTCAGATATTCCTGCCTCGCGGTATTTTCTACTTCTAATTTTCTCAAACCTTTGAGTGTGTCAAAGAATAAAATCTCAACAAATTAAATTGTAAAGATCCAATTGGCTTTTATTAGTGATTCATGAACTGGGCAGCATCCAGCCTACAAAATAAACAGGAGCCCTACCAGGTATTACAGAATAGTCTGCATTTGTAAGGCAGCACTGGCAGGAGCAAGGAAACAGCATGGTAGGAATAGCAGACTGGTTAACATCAGGTTACTTTACTTGTGTGGATTAAAGCAGAGGGGGCTTCCTAATCCTAATCATGCTGACTCAGGTTGACTGGACTCCCTTTGATCAGTTGCTGTGAATCTCCTGACTTTTTGAAACTGTCCTATTTTTTTTTTTTTTTTTTTTTGAGACGGAGTTTCGCTCTTGTTACCCAGGCTGGAGTGCAATGGCGCGATCTCGGCTCACCGCAACCTCCGCCTCCTGGGTTCAGGCAATTCTCCTGCCTCAGCCTCCTGAGTAGCTGGGATTACAGGCATGCACCACCATGCCCAGCTGATTTTTTGTATTTTTAATAGAGACGGGGTTTCACCATGTTGACCAGGATGGTCTCGATCTCTTGACCTCGTGATCCACCTGCCTCAGCCTCCCAAAGTGCTGGGATTACAGGCGTGAGCCACTGCGCCCGGCTGAAACTGTCCTATTTTTAATTCACTTTGATTACACAGACTCCATTCATGGATGGAGAGGTGAGATCTTGAAGTTCCATTCAACATAAATGTATTGGAAAGCTTTTGTTAGATAGGGCTTGTTAATTTTGGCCTTGGGCTAGTCCTTCCCCATCTCTCATCCTCTGCTTCCTAACATAAAATACAGCTCAAATGCTCCTAACATTATGATTCTAAGAAATATCAGGATTAGATTAATTGCTTAATAGCACAATAATATTAGAGAGTGGAAGGTGAGAAGCAAAATAATTACACTTAGCAAATATTTTTAACTGATTGAAATTAAAGATAAGAGCTCTTTTAAAGTTTAGCCTCCCCTCAACCCTCCTACCCTCAAACTACTGTTTGCTAGGGCTGCCATAACAAAATGCCACAGATTGGGTGGCTTTTTAATTTAATTTATTTTGTGAGGGTACAGACAGGGTCTTACTATTGTCCAGGCTGGCCTTGAACTCCTGGCCTCAAGCAATCCTCCTGCCTCGGCCTCTAACCATGGGTGGCTTAACAACAGACATTTATTTCTCACTATTCTGGAGATTACAAGTCAAAGATCAAGGTGCTGGTGATTTCGTTTCTTCTGAGGCCTCTCTCTTTGCTTGCAGAGAGCTGCCTTCTCACCATGTCCTCTTCTGGTCTTTGTTCTGTGCACGCATCACCGGTATCTCTTATGTCCAAGGACACCATGTTGGATTAGACTAAGAGCCTCCTTGAACTTAGTTCACCTCTGTAAAGGCCTCATCTCCGAACAGTCACATTAGAAAGAAATGGCAGTTAGGACTTCAACAAATGAATTGGGAGTTGCACAATCCAGCCCATACCAATGATCTAGTCTAAGGTTCCTGTTGCAAAACACTGCATACTTCTGAGGAGAAAATTATTTTGCTTTAGGACAATTTAAACATATTTTTAAATGGAACACATACTGCAATTTGTTAAAATACATTAGTAATATTTTCTTATGGCTAAGTCCACTTGGAAAGCTAGTTATCAAAATGAAAAGTGATTGTTTCATTTCGTGCTCACCAGTATTAGTTTTTTGTGATATTTGTAAAATGTACTATATAAGATTTTCTTTAAAATAAGTATATAAAAGTCAAATACATCATTAAGATTTTCATTAGTATACAATCCAAAACTAAAAATTTTAGAACAGACTAGCTTCATTTTACATGACAAAAAGCTTTGAAAGAGCTACTTTTACAGCTTGATCTGACTGGCTGCCAAAAATACTTTTCTTGGTGGAAGACATTGAATGAAATGTAAGGCTCAGAGGGTAAAACCCTTGAAATATAAAAACACATACTGTCATAGAATCCCACTTAAGGAAGCTTCTGTTTGATTAGCTTGCCATTTTAATTACAATTTCAAGTCTTATAGAGACAGAAATTCTATTTTTTCCAGAACAAATGTGCATATTCTTATAATACAACAGGGAAGAAAACAAACATTAGATTTTAATTTGTTGAGCTTTTTTTACTTTTTGAGCCTAGCAGTCGACATATTTTTTTTCCTTTTCCTTCACAGTCTGGCATTCATCTGACTCATTAGCTTCTCCAATTTGATTGCTAGGGCCATGTTACCTTTAATCTTCAGTCTTCCTGACATGAATGCCATTGTTGGTTTTAGTTTCCCTAAAATGAGAAAATGAGAGAGGGAAAAGCAACCATTAGTACCCTCAGGGATATACTGCTTTAAGAACATGCATTATGAAAAGAACCTCCTTGAGTTCTACAAACCTCAAACCTCAGAAGCAAAGAAATTTCTGTTACAGCATTTTATACCAGTATCTTGGGAATCCCAATTCCTAGACTTAGATGTTAACAATATCCTATAATATAGAGGTAGCATGAAAACAACAATCAGCAAAAGATTATAGCAAATCTTTTTATGCTAAAAAGATTTTTTTTTTTTGGAGACAGAGTTTCACTCTTGTGTCCCAGGCTGGAGCGCAGTGATGTGATCTCAGCTCACCACAACCTGTGCCTCCCAGGTTCAAGGGATTCTCCTGCCTCAGCCTCCAGAGTAGCTGGGATTACAGGCATGTGCCACCACCCCCTGCTAATTTTATATTATTATTTTTTTTTTTTACTAGAGACAGGGTTTCTTTATATTGGTCAGGTTGGTTTCAAACTCCAGACCTCAGGTGATCCACCTGCCTCAGCCTCTCAAAGTGCTGGGATTACAGGCGTGAGCCACCACGCCCAGATACACTAAAATGATTTTTATACACTAAAGGATACACGACCCTCATATGAATTCTTGTAAACAAACACTGTCTATTTTAGTTAATTTTCCAACTTATTATAGTTCATTAAACTTTTAACATTTCAAGTTCAAAAAACCCAACAGTATAAATGAACAAAATATTCTTAAGAAATGTTTATTAAAAGTATAGTGTATGGACACAAAATATGTGTTAGCATTACTTTAACCATAGAAATGCCAGGGTATAAAAAATGTGTGCATTAAAATAGAATTATAGCTAATAACAACATGTAATAAATATGAGCTCCATGGAGAGAGGTTAATTTGTTATCTGCTACTCTTATTCCAGTGTTAGCACGGGGTCTGTCACATAGTGGAATTAATAAGGAAACAGATTCAAAAAGGATTTTGACTTGCCCAAGGTCACACAGCTTGTATGAGGCAGTGCTGCAACTCAAAGCCTCTCATTTATGACTTTTATTTATGTCTGCCTCTCATTTATGACTTTTTCCCCCCTTTCTTTCTTTCTTTTTCTTCTTTTCTTTTCTGTTATTTTCTTTTCGAGACAGGGTCTCACTCTGTCTCCCAGGCTGGAGTACAGTGGTGTGATCATGGCTTACTGCAGCCTTGACTTCCCAGGCTCAGCTGAACCTTCTACCTCAGCCTCCTGAGTAGCTGGGAAGCTGGGCTCATTTTTTGTAGAGATGGAGTTTCACCATGTTGCCCAGACTGGTCTCAAGTGATCCACCTGCCTCCCAGAGTGCTGGGATTATAGATGTAACTCACCTGGCCCAGCCTCATTTATGATTTTCTGTCTTACATTATGCTAACTGATATACATGACGTATCTCCTAGAAGGCACAATATGTGTTTGGTATATTAGTAGCCACCCTCCCTGCCCCATGCCCCACACAGGTTATTTGTGAGTTCATGTATTATATATCTATATCTGTATCTACATCTATATCTATGTATCTATGTATCTATCTATCTATCTATTTATCTATCTATCTATCTATCTATATAGAGAGAGCACTATTAAATACCTTTAAATCATTCTAAATAGAGGTTGTAGCAAAGCCTCATAGAGTTATTACAGGTAGAAAGGATCAAGTCTTTTATTTTAATGAATAAACTGAGCTATGTTCTACTTCAAGACAATGTGATATTAAAAACCCAATACTTACAAATAGTAAATGAAAGGGTAACTTTTATTTACATGGAAAATACTGAAAGCTCTTTATTCTTAAAGGAACAGAACAGCCCCTCCAAAAACACAAATATAGATATCTGGGTATCCTTCAGCTAAATCAACTGGCTCCTGCTCTGTTATTCTACAGTGAAGCCTACCATTCCACCCACCCCACTCACACACATCTTTCAATAAGCTTTGCAGAGCCCTGCCCATAGAGACGAATGGACATCAAATATAACCAAAACCAAACCGAAACCAAAACCAAAACATAGATAAGAGCAACTTGGAGGAAGCAGAATGCAGGCTCAGATGAAAGATAACTAAAATAGAGTAAATGGAGAACAAATTAAAAATTCCATAATCTGTGTCCTCAGAGATAAAAGAAAATAATACAGCAAGGGATGGAGAAAAGGATGCAAGAGGAGAAAGAGGGGAGAAGAGGAGCACAGGAAGGAGAGAGGAAAAGAAGAGGGGATGAAGGAGAGGGAGAGAGGAGAAAGAGGGAAAGGGGGAAAGGCAGTGATACCAGGGAAAGAGAGGGGATGGGATAAATTGAGAAGGAGGAAGAGAACGGTAAGAAAAGAAAAACCATCAGAAAACAAGATGAGCTCTTAGAGATTATAATTGCAGTCAAAAAAATTAAAATGCAATAGGAATGTAGGAAAAAGAAGGTGAGCTGGTCTCCTAGGTGAAAAGAATTATACAAATATATGTGCCACAGGAGAAATGAGTGAGTAAATCAGATGATCTTTTTCTTCAGAAAGTCAGAAGAGAGAAAACTGAGAGAACTATCCAAGAAATAATATAAGAACTTTTCAAGGGGCTGGGACAATGACAGAAGAAAAGACCATTTATCTTTTATCACTGTAAAATATCAGACCGCCACAGAGAAAGATGTCTCTGATTTCAGAAATTTTCAGAAAGGGCAAGGGTGGATAGAAAAGGTTAGGAAGAACAGCATCAAATTCTCAATGATAATCTTAAGATGATAATGGCTTCAAAATTCTGAAGGAAAATGAATTTCAATCCAGACAATCAAGAGAGTTGGTAGAATAATAGTAGTTTCAGATATACACAAAAATTATCTCTAATGTATCCTTTCTCATGAAACTACTGGAGAATGTGTGCCACCAAAATGAAGACGTAAAGCAAGAAAGGAGACATGGGATCCAGGAAAAAGGAGATTCAATGCAGCGGAGAGTTAAATTTCTAGGACAGTAGCTGTGCAGTAGGCTTAAGGAGATTCAGGTTTCGATTATAACATGAAGACAAAGGGCTCCAAGGAAAAAGCGAACTGACATGACCTGATACATTTGACAAAGTAGAAAACTGCATCAAGAAGCTGTGGGAAGAGTACAGGAAGACTTTGCTTAGTGTTATGGACTGAATATTGGCATCCTCTCAAACTTCTTATCTCGAAGCTCTTGCCCTCAGTGTGATGGCCTCAGGAAGTGGGGCCTTGAGAAAATAATTTGGTTTAGATGAAATCTTGAGGCTAGAGCCAGAATTGATGTGATTAGTGCCCATATAACAAAAGGAAGAGAAACAATTCAATGGCATTTAAGTCCAGGCACAATGTTGTGTACTACCACACAACACATGTGGTATCTATCTAGTTTCAACACATTTTCGTCATCCCAAAAGGAAACCTTCAGGGATTCAGCATTAGCAGTTCCCCCTGCCTCCAAACTCTGGCAATCACCAATCAGCTCTCAGTGTCTATGGATGCACCTATTCTATATATTTAATATAAAAGGATTCCTACAATATGGGATCTTTTGTGTGTGGCGTTTTGCATTTACTGTAATGTCCCATGGTGTAGCTGTATCAGTACTTATTCCTTTTTATGGCTGACTACTACTTCATTGTATGTATATACCAGACTTTGTTTATCCATGCATCCCTTAATGGACATTTGGGTTGTTTCCATCTTTTGCCTATTATGAATAGCACTGCTGTGAATATGCATGTACATTTATTTGTTTGAGTGCCTGCCTTCAATTCTTTTGAGTATTTATTTACGAGTAGAAATGGTGAGTTATTTGGTAATTCTATAATTAACTTTACTCATACATCTGTGGGTTTAACTAAACCCATGTCTCTATAGTCAACTGATCTTCAGCAAGGGTGCCAAGACCATTTAACACAGGAAAGGACAGTCCATTCCACAAATGGTGCTGGGATAACTGGATATTGATATATGGAAGAATGAATTTGGACTCTCCTACTATCTACAAAACTTAACTTAAAATGGATCATAAACCTAAATGTAAGAGGTAAAACTAAAAACTCTTAGAAGAAAATACAAGGATAAATCTTCCTAACCTTGATTTGGCAAAGGATTCTTAGATATAACACTGGAAGCAAAAACCACAAAAAATAGGTAAGTTGAACTTCAAAACTAAAAACATATGAGTTTCAAAATATGTCATCAAGAAAATGAAAAGACAATCCACAAAAAATGTGAAAGAACATTTGCAAATCACATATCTGATGAAACATATCTGAAAATATATGAATAATTTCTTTTCTTTTTCTTTTTCTTTTTTTTTTTTTTTTAAATCTCTTTATGTCACCCAGGCTAGAGTACAGCTGCTCACTGCAACTTCCACCTTCCGGGTTCAAGCAATTCTTCTGCCTCAGCCTTCTGAGTAGCTGGAATTACAGGCACCTGCCACCATGCCTGGCTAATTTTTGTATTTTTAGTAGAGGCAGGGTTTCACCATGTTGGCCAGTCTGGTCTTGAACTCCTTGACCTCAGGTGATCTGCCCACCTCAGCCTCCCAAAGTGCTAGGATTACAGCTGTGACCCACTGTGCCCAGGCCAGAATTTCTTAAAACCGAATAATAAAAGACAAATAACCAAATTTTGAAATGGAAAAGGACTTGAATGGACATTTCTCCAAGGAAATACCTTTGATCCTTAAGTACATGAAAAAATGTTTGATATCATTTGTCATTAGAGAAATGCAAATCAAAACAACAAGATGCCATTTCACATCCACTAGGGTGGCAATAATGAAAAAACAAAATAATAAGAAGTGTCGATAAGGACAAGGATATGGAAAAATAGAAATCCTTGTACATTGCTGGTGGGAATATAAATGATGCAGCCACTATGAAAAACCTTTCGACAATTCTTTGAGAAGTTAAACATAAAATTATGTTATGACCTAGAATTCTACTCCCACATATATAGCCAAGAGAAATGAAAACATATATCCACACAGAAACATGTATATTAATGTTCATCAAAGCATTATTCATAATAGCCAGACAGCAGAAACAACCTAACTGTCCATCAGCAGATGAACGGGTAAATGAATTGTAGTGTATCCATATAATGGAATAATATTCAGCCATGAAAAGGAAATGAGGTACTGATACATGCTACAGCTTGGATGAACCTCAAAAACATTATGCTAAGTAAAAGAAGTCAGATGCAAAAGGTCACATATTGTATGATTCCATTTATAAAAAATACTCAGAATATGCAAAACAATAGAGAAAAAGCAGATGAGTGGTTGCCAGGGGAGGTGAGAATGCGAAGTGTTTGCTTATGCTTATATATGGTACAGGTATTCTTCCGAAGTCTCACTCTGTCGCCAAGGCTGCAGTGCAGTGGCATGATCTCGGCTCACTGCAACCTCCACCTCCTGGTTCAAGCTATTCTCCTGCCTCAGCCTCCCAAGTAGCTGGGACTACAGGTGCATGCCACCATGCCCGGCTACTTTTTGTGTTTTTAGTAGAGCCAAGGTTTCACCATGTTGGCCAGGCTGGTCTCGAACTCCTGACCTCATGATCCACCCGCCTCAGCCTCCCAAAGTGCTGGGATTAGAGGTGTGAGCCACCAAGCCTGGCCAAAAACAGTTTTTTAAAGGGACAACAAGTGTTGATGAGTAGGTAGAGAAAATGGAGCCTTAATATATTGCTGATGGGACTGTAAAGATGGTATAGTTAGTAGCAAATAGTTTGGTAGGTTCTTAAAAGTTAAATATCGGCTGGGTGCTGGCTCTTGCCTGTAATCCCAGCACTTTGGAATGCTTAATTCGGAGGATTACTTTAGTCCAGGAGTTTGAGATCAGCCTGGGCAACAAAGCGAGATCCTATCTCTATTTTATTTTAAGTGAAAAAAAAGTTAAATATCAACTTAACATATGACCTAGCAATTCCATTCTTTAAAATCTACCCAAGAAGAATGAAAACAAATATCCACACTGATACATGAATGAGAATCTTCATAGCAGCAATATTCATAATAGCCAAAAACTTGAAACAATCCAAATATCCGTTAGCTGGTGAGTAAATAAACGTGGTATATTCATACAATGGAATACTATTCAGCAATAAAAAGGAACTGAACTACTGATACCCGCTAGAACATATAGATGAATGAATATCAAAAGCCTATCCTAAGTAAAAGGAGCTAGATGTGAAAGACTGTATACTGTTTTATTCCACATACATAAAATGTCCAGAGACAGAGAGCAAATTAGTATTTGGCTGGCTAGGAAGTTGGGAGTGGAAACAGGATCAACTGCAAAGAGACATGAGAGAATTTTTTGGTGTGATGAAATATTCCCAGACTGGACTGCAGTGATGGCTGTGCAACTACAAATTCATTAAAAATCTCTTAATTATGATGGTAGATTTTATTTCATGTGAATTATACCTCAACAATACTGACTTAACAAAAGTTTTTTAAAAAGCTACTAAGCTCAGTGTTTCACACACACCCACACGCACATACACCCTCCTCATGTAAGGTAATATTGTTTAATTTACTTTATTTCTATCACACTCCTTTACCATATAGTGGCCTCTATTGGCCAAAAGGAGAGATTCTGATTATTTGGTTACCGATTGCTTTAATTTTTTTTTTTTGAGACAAAATCTCAGTCAATTACCCAGCCTGAAGTCCAGCTCGATCTCAGCTCACTGCAACCTCCGCCTCCAGGGTTCAAGCAATTCTCATGCCTCAGCCTCCCGAGGAGGTGGAATTACAGGCATGTGCTACCATACCCGGCTAATTTTTGTATTTTTGGTAGAAACAGCGTTCTGCCCTGTCGGCCAAGGTGGTCTCAAACTCCTGACCTCAAGTAATCCATCTGCCGTGGCCTCCCAAAGTGCTGGGATCACAGGCATGAGCCATCATGCTTGGCCTAAATTTTTATATTTATAATGTGTCTACTCTATAAATTAGGCATAGAAATAGCTATGGTTTCTTCAAAGAGAATTCTTATGATGTAAAGTCTAAATTGTGCCCATTTAAAGGAAAGCAGATGGGAAAAACAGTTAAAAATAAAAAGACACAAGAAGCACAAGCAAACTCACTTGCTCCCAATCTAAACCATACCTATAAAATATACTTGATAAGAATAACTAATGCTTTTTTAAAAAATGATTCATATAATTGACTGACCTCATCCAGTGAACCACATTCAAAGAAAGATACTAATGGAAAGCCTGTTATTTCAAGTGTATGCTATATAAGTGAAATGTAAATTAAAGAAGTCATGGCCAGGCACAGTTCCTCACACCTGTAATCCCAGCACTTTGGGAGGCCGAGGTGGGCGGATTGCGTGAGCTCAGGAGTTCGAGACCAGCCTGGGCAACACGGTGAAACCTCGTCTCTACTGAAATACAAAAAATTAGCCTGGCGTGATGGCATGCGCCTGTAGTCCCAGCTACTCAGGAGACTGAGACAGAATAATTATTTGGACCGAGGAGGCGGGGGTTGCAATGAGCCCCGATTGTGCCAATGCACTCCAGCCTGGGCCACAGAGTGAGACTCTGTCTCAAAAAAAAAGAAAAAAGAAAAAAAAAAGTTACTTGATTTTTTTCACCTTTGGAGGGCAGACTAGCATAATAATTAAGAGCATAAGCTTTGGAGTTAGCTTAGATTTAAATCCTAGCTCCATTTTCTCATTCATCAGCTGACCTTGGGCTTATTATTTAACTGAGCAAAGCCTCAGTACTTACTGGTATAAAATGGAGAACATATTTTATTGGAAAGGACTGTTGGGAGTATTGCTTAACTACAGCAATCACACAATAAATAAATCATACATAATTATTGTTATTTCTGTTCAGGAGTTGACAATAAATTTTTATTTTAAATGGTCATCAAGATACAACAAACATTCATAAGCATTTATTAAATGTGTCCAAAGCACTGTGTTTAAACTCTATGGAGAAAAAGTTGTGGAAACACTGAAGAAACACTAACCAAGCTATTAAAAATCATTAAAAGGGCTGAGAGTGGTGGTTCACGCTTATAATCCCAGCACTTTGGGAGGCTGAAGCCAGTGGATCACCTGAGGTCAGGAGTTTGAGACCAGTCTGGCCAGCATGGTGAAACCCTGTGTCTACTAAAAATACAAAAACTTAGCCAGGCGTGGTGGTAGGCACCTATACTCTCAACGACTCTGGAGGCTGAGGCAGGAGAATCGCTTGAATCCGGCAGGTGGAGGTTGCAGTGAGCCAAGGTCCTGCCACTGCACTCCAGCCTGGGCGACAACAGTGAGACTCCATCTCAAGAAAAAAAAAAATCATTAAGGGGATAACCACTGATAAACATTGAAAGATGTTATAATGTATTAAGTGAAAAAGATTGCCAAACAGTAGTAATGGGTATGATCCTGTTTTTATAAGTACACATGTTGTACTCACACATATACAAATACACATATGCATGATGCTAAACCAAATTATGCAAACCATAATAAGATGGCCATAATATACCATAATATACATATATAGATGCTAAACCATAATTTGGTTTGGTTATGGTTTAGCATCATACATATGTATATTATGGTCATCTTTCAGTGGTATGGTAAAAGTAATTTTATTTTCTTTTTTCTTAAGTATATTTTCTCTTTTTTTGAGAGAGGGTCTCATTCTGTTGCCCAGGCTGGAGTACAGACAGTGATGTTATCTTGATTTACTGCAGCCTCAACCACCTGGGCTCAGCTAATCCTCCCACCTCAGCCCCTGGAGTAGCTGGGGACTTCAGATGCACACCAGCACACCCAACCAATTTTTGTATTTTCTGTAGAGAGGGGGTTGCCCCATGTTGCCCAGGCTGGTTTCGAACTCCTGGGTGCAAGTGATCCTCCCATCCTTGGCCTCCCAAAGTGTTGGGTTTACAGGCGTGAGCCAGCGTGCCTGGCCTATATGTTCTAATTTTTATATGAATGTTTAACACTACTATAAAAAAAGGGAAAAGTTGAAGAAATGCTGATCATTAGTACACCATATACAGACTGGCTCAGATGGAACGTAGGCAATTAGCAACCTGGATTAGAACTGGAAAGAAAGACTTAGAGGGCACAGAATACATTGTGTTCCCGTTTAGAAAGATTAAAACAGAACAAAGTCTGAATAAAATTTATAATTCATTCCATGAAAGACTCTTTAGATCAGAATGTTACGCTTAAAGTGCTGCTTCTAATTTTTTAGAATTTGAGTTAATTAACTTATCATTTGGAGTAGTGTTCTAAGAGTAGAGAAGAGAAAATTATCCTTAATTTCTGGCATAGTTAGAGGTAAATGGACAGAATAGAAAATCAAACAAAAGGTTTTCTGGCTTCAGGACTCCACAGAAAGCAGGGTCACGAGGCCATGGCCGAGGGCTAGAATGTGTTTCCTCCCTATTGAAACAGCTGGCAAGACTGAAGCACGACCTTACTCTCAATAAGCGAGTTGCTGCTACTGAGTTCAGTGCCTCCAGCGACTGGGGTGTTATTGGAAACATAATACCTTAGTCCAGCTAATATGATGAAGCCCACCCAGGAGTCCCTTTGAATTATCTCTCTGTTCCCAACATTATATTACTGGCTTCTCAGTAATGAAAGAAAATCATTCTGACGTCTACCTTCCACTTGTGAGAGGAGGGAGAAGTGGCAATGGAGACAACAGTAAGAACAGCCTTCCCAAAACTAAGATTCCACTGCTGCCAACATGTGTAAGTCTTGATTATTTGGGAAGGGATAAAGCAAAATGTCAGAACTAAATTTTCTCTGAACAGTAAGGTAAACTAGTAAACTGGAAAACTCACCTGAAAACATTTTTACAAAGTCATCAGTGGACATACTCATCACCACATCTGCCTGATCAGAAGGCTCTCCATATCCGACATTCCCACCCTTGCTTTTCAGATCAAGAAACCACGTGCCACCATCTTCACCTAGAGAGATAAATATATAGAAGTAAATTTCACAGGAGCCCTTGTTCTCCTTAGATTTAATAATTACTACAATTAGAATAATCTTTAAAAATGCTGTTTCCAAAGTTAAAATCCCCAGACCTCCATCAGTCAAATTCAGCAACTATTTTTTAAGCACTTCCAGGTATTCTGCTAGCCTCTGAAGATTCTTCAGTAAAAAGAAAACCATGATTCTACTCACAAAAGAGGAAGTAGAGAGTGATGTAGGAGCACATTAAAGGGTCAAGATACCCAGAGTAGGAAAACACATAAAGACAAAAAGTGGAACAGTGGTTCCTGGGGATTGGGGGATGGGGGAATGGAAGTTATTGTTTAATGGGTACAGAGTTTCACTTGGAATGATGAAAAAGTTCTGGAAATAGATGGTGATGATGGTTATAAAACAATGTGAATGCATTTAATGCAACTAAGCTGTACACTTAGAAGTGGTTAAAATAGGCCGGACGTGGTGGCTCATGCCTGTAATGCCAGCACTTTGGGAGGCTGAGGTAGGCGGATCACTGGAGATCAGGGGTTCAAGACCAGCCTGGCCAACATGGCGAAACTCCATTTCTACTAAAAATACAGAATTAGCTGGGTGTGGTGGCATGCACCTGTAATCCCAGCAACTCCGGAGGTTGAAGCAGGATACTCTCTTGAACCCAGGAGGTGGAGGTAGCAGTAAACCAAAACTGCACCACTGCATTCCAGTCTGGGCAACAAAGCCAGGCTCCATCTCAAAATAATAATAATAAATTTTTTTAAATAAGAAAAGTTAAAAGCTGACTACCTTCAGACTGACCTGGTTAATCTGAAAGATAAAAATGGCAAGGTGCCTATTGTTGATAAATTACTGTATCACACTACCTGTTTATGAGCCATATGCCCTTTAAGCAGGATTTTCTATCAAATATGCCAAAGAGTTATATATAATGCTGGGAGTATTTGTAATGAAATTTTACTTTACATGTGTCCATATGCACTGATCTTAATCTAAAAATAAAAATCACTGGGAGGCTGAGGTCAGAGGATCACTTGAGCCCAGGAGGTCGAGGCCAAAGTGAGCCACGATCATGCCATTGCTCTCCAGCCTGGGTGACAAAGAGTCTATCTCAAAGAAACAACAACAAAATCAATAGTTACAGTTATATAAGTTATATATAACTATATATATAGTTATATAAAAACAAGTCAATAGTTATATAAGTTATATAGTTATAGTTGACAATCAAGAGTAAGGGCCTTGAATGCAGCCCACTATCCAGGTGATCACTGTTGAAGGCTGATTTTCTTCCAAAGGAAACACCCCATTTTGTTTCATAAAAACTTGAGATTACCAGATGCAGTTCTTACCGGAGAGTTCAAACAGATAGATTCCTTGAGTGGCTTTAACAACATCATCACTGAGAGAGTCCTTAACAATTCTAAATGTTTCTTCCACAGCTCCCAAACGTGGTTTTGGTTGTGGCTGTGGTTTCTCTTCTTTGAATTCTGGAACAGCACCTGTAAAATATTATTCAAGCAAATGACCTTAATACTTTGGCAGTGAAGGACCACACACAGAATTAAGTAATCAGCAGGACAGACTTGCTACCAATTAGACCTATTTGACCAAAATGACTTTAAATGCATTAAGTGGCATCTAAAAGCATGAATCAAATTGACAGAATAACAGTCAAACACACATCAATTATGACTACAAATGTAAATGGTTTATACTCTCCAAATAAAAGGCTGACTTTCAGATTAGATGAAAAAATACTACTATACTATAAATATTTATCATAAACAGACCTTCTATAATCTGAGCACTTTGTGACGCCAAGACAGGTAGATTGCTTGAGCCCAGGAGTTCGAGACCAGCCTGAGCAACATGGAGAAACACTGCCTCTACAAAAAATACAAAAATCAGCTGGGCATGGTGGCTGTTGCCTGCAGTCTCAACTACTTGGGAGGCTGAGGTGAGAGGATCACTTGAGCCTGGGAGGCAGAGTCTGCAGTGAGCTGAGATTACATCACTGCACGCCAGCCTGGGTGACGGAGGGAGATCCTGTCTCAAAAAAATAAATAAAAATAAATAGACCTAAACACAACTACTGGAGTATTAGGGATGATAACCAATCCCTCTTTTTTCAATTTGCCTGAGTTGTAAAGCCAAATGAGCACAAAAAGACATTGGAATCAGAAAGATGGAAATCAAAATATCAATTGTGGAATTAGTGGAGCTAACCTGGAGACTGTAGCTTGAATCAACAGCCAAGTGTACTTTCTAATCACTCTACCTCTAAATTCAATCTATTCACCTAGTCCTTCCACCCATGGATTGACCCAGCATCCTCCCATCAAGGGTTAGCAATGCTCTGTAAGTAGAGATCATGTGAAGCCTGAGGACAACCTGCTCAGAAGGACAGAATGCTCAGAAGGGTCTGAACCACCAGTTTCTTCTCCCCATCCCACTTATTCAGATTGTCCCGCCCACTAGATGAAAAGGGAGGTTAAACTGTTAGTCCCTGACTGACAGGCTGCCTTCTCTGGAAACATTAGGTCACAAGAATGGAGGTTACCTATAACATTTTAAAACTTGTATTCACTTAACCCATTGGCTATAATAACTCAACATATGATCAGCCAGGAGAAAAGAGCACTTCATAGGACTGCTTTGCTCCCATATCATGATGCTCTCCCCTAATACTGTCTCTGCTCCTTTATTTATTTATTATTTATTTATTTATTTTGGGGGGACAGAGTCTCTCTTTGTCACCCAGGCTGGAGTACAGTGACTCGACCTTGGCTCACTGCAGCCTCCGTCTACCAGTTCAAGCAATTCTCCTGCTTCAGCCTCCTGAGTAGCTGGGACTACAGGTGCCCACCACCATGCCTGGGTAATTTTTGAATTTTTAATAGAGACAGGGTTTCACCATGTTGGCCAGGATGGTCTCAAACTCCTGACCTCAGGTGATTCACCCACCTTGGCCTCCCAAAGTGGTGAGATTACAGGCGTGAGCCACCACGCCCAGCCTCTCTGTTCCTTTATTTACCATCCTAGAATCACATGGGGGCCACTGAGTAGTTGCCCCCCAGAAACAGGTAAGAACAATTCATTAATTAAATTAAATCCAAGGCCAACCAATCTGTTCTCTAGGCTGAAAGTTAATCTGTTTCTCAACTCAAATTACACATAGCCATCTTGTCCAATACAATTCCTCAAAGGTTATTAAATGAAATCTAATTGATGGCATCAAGATACTCCATTGTACAAAGTAAGCTATTAATTCATAAAGTATACTGAATATAAACCACCTTCCATTATGATGTTTCCACAAATTAAAAAATCCTTTTCCTTTTATAAGTTAAAGTAGAAACAGATATTAGAAATGAAAGCCTTAAGATCCGATGGAACTAATAAGATATAGACCTGAGGAATTTTTTCAGCCTGTTTTATTATTGTTTTAATATTTACTACAGTGTACCTCTTTATTGCCTGAACTGGGGGCAATCCACTTCTCCTGCCTTGCCCTTAGCATGGCACTGCTTTTTATTGACATGTAACATACATTCAGAAACAGCGATCAGACGTATACAGATCAAAATGTATATAAAAAAGTGAAAACACCGTGTCATCACCACCTAGGTCAAGAAAGAGGACATTACAGATATCCCAGAAGCCCACTCCACAACCCCTCCTAATTGCTAACACCATATATTAGTTTTGTCTCATGTTCGTCTTCAAATAAATGGAATCAATCACATGGCATCTATTCTTTTATGCTTGCCTATCCTTCAAAACTCTTCCAAAAAATGCAAGAGGAGGCAACACTTTCTAATTCATTATGTGAGGCCAGTATTACCATGACACCAAGCCAGACACAGACATACAAGAAAACTGACTAATGTAGACAGACAATATGCAAATACATATACATGCATACATACATAAAATTCAGTTGGGAAGTGATGAGTTCTACTTTAAAAAGAGCAAGAACTAGGATAGAATGTAAGACTATTTTAGATAAGGTAGTTTTTGAATAGACACTGAATTAAGCAATATAAGGCTGAA